TCTTGTTGTGCTTTTATCCCCCACTCCTCACCATTCTCTCTCTCACTCTTCTACATATGTGTGTCAGTATTGTTGTGGAAATGCCTTTCATGGAAACGACCATTACAATTATAATTTCGTCCAGATTGTTCTGGGCAATCAATGTGTCCTATACGATACACATGCTTAGCAAAAATCACAACTCTATTCAAAACAAATCACCAAAGCCAATATTGAGTGTTTCTGTACTGGAAATCGTTATACCGATTAACACCCGTAGATTTTGAATTTCTACACAGCCTAACGATATTATGGTTCCTTTACGCGTCTTCAAGATGTTCGGTCAGCGCAGCGGTCACCAACGTCGATGTTGAAGTCGGTAAGCCAAGTTCAAATTCCCGCTTGGCCTCCTATGTTCACTTTCGCACAAATCTTCTTCTTTATGCCGAATACGTTCAGGACGTTGGCGATCATGGCTCTCCACATTTTCCCGTCCTTTTTTGCTCTTAGTAACTTGTCTTATTGCTATCGCTCTTAAACCCTGTTCTGTCAACCATTTACAAAAGCTCCTTGGGTAGGTTATGTGCTATTTTCCTCTATCCCTCTAACCTTCAATATGTCATGTGAGTGTCAAATTTTCTAAGCCCTCTTTCTTCATTATGTGCCTTAGAAATTGCAACTGTCACTTTCTAGGACAGATAAGGAGAAAAGAGGACTTAGAAAATTCGAAACTTACAGGACATTGAAAGTAAGATGGGAATGCATAAATCCGTTTCTTCTCCCGGGATATGGGTTAAATAGCAGGGTGGGCAAATCTAAGAACAAGAAAACTTTCATAATCATAGAAAAAACAACGGATCACCGATCCACTATAAATGACAAAAAGTTATGGCTATTTACACATAATAAACAAAAATGAGGGTTTCATGATTGCCTACGTCCTGAAGTGACATATCATTTAAGTTTAGTGTAAGCCCCTTTAATATGGGCGAGTGGTTAGAACCCAGCGTGAGGCAGCTTTGGAAAGTACCTGAAAACCATACCACGGGTTGACCCAAGCTTTGTGAGTGAAATCGGGTAGACGGAACACTTGGGCGCCGTCTATAGCTGTGCTAGCACGAAAACACAAGTCATCGTGGCCGAGGGTTTGAGTGCGCTGGCCTTGTTCAGATCGTTGATCACACCAGATAACACGCTCTCTCCCAGAAAATGTAAGTAAAGTCTGCTCAGCATAGTTGCAGTATAAACCACAGTTGGGCTCTGTGGATGTTGAACAAACACAAATGTACCTGAGCGAGCGTCTGTAATAGGGATTGGCTAGCCACCCTAATAGACGGGTATCCTGGAATACGAGTGGCCAGCTATTATTATTATTATTATTATAAGCCCCTTTAAGTCTTTCTCTTATACGGACTTGCGGTATCTACCTCCTCAAAGTCTATATTTCTCTTACTTCTTTCTAGAATTCTTAAAGCACTTGAGAGAACATAAGAAAGATACTTTGTCATGACTTGAAATGATGGTCGCGTTGAAACTTGTGTTGACGAGCTGCACACCAGGAGTTCGACATGGACTGTCACAATTCTCGGCCATCAGATCTTCATTCGACCATTAAGTCATATATTGAGGCATTCATTTTTGTGTTAAATTGGCGTTTATACCAAGTGGGCAACATGAGTTTTATAGGAAGCAAAGAAGCCAGCGCGCTTTCCTCATGTCAGAAGCCAAGGATTTTTTTTTTGTTGTTGACACGGCTTTAAAAAAAAAAAGATTTATTGCTTTCGCATCACAGAATTTTTCAAGTACTTAACTGACACCAAGAAATAATAACGCGAGAATTTTAGCTGTCTTATTAATTTGACAAGAAAAAAAAGCGATATTTATTCGAGAATCAAGTATTGTATTCACAACTGTAATAAGGTCCATAGCCATGTAACTGTAAGAAAAGCGGATTAAAGCTGTAAGATTTATCTTTTTTTACGAAGATGTAATTTTGACTATTTCATAATTTGATTTACTGGAATGTTCACGAAGAGGCTTCATTCAAAACTCACTAAATAAGTGAGTCAACACTAGATCTACTTCGATTTCAAATCAAACGTTAAATCAGGAAATTTAACAGGAAGCGGAAAAGGTCACATGACGCCAAGTCAGAAGAGTAAGATGAACGCAGCAAAACATCCTAACCCACGTTTAAGTTTTTTCCGAACTGACACATGTAATATATGATCTGGTATTGTCTTATTCAGGTCAAGCTCAGTCAATCAGTTATATACCATGCGTGATACACGCTTAGGCGATCATATACCTTCCGACTCATGACTGACGAGGCAGATTTTTTTCCCTCAGTAGGTTTCCATTTCTTGCTGCGGTAGACGTTGCCATCCAAGGCTACATAACCCAGTCTGTCCTGCTATTTACACATAGCTGTAGGTAGAAGAGGTTTCATACCTTTCCCAAGGGTATTAGCACGTAAGTGAATGCAAGCTACTCCCAGTAAACAATGCCCCGCACAATGCACCAATAAAAACATTTTGAGATGCAATTCTGGTTTTGTTCCTATAGCTTCCTTCTAGTCTTTTCATCTTAATTTATGCGTTTGGTAGCCGTAATAATACAAGTTTGCATCCGTTATGGTGATGAGATCCACTTATGCGTACGTGAGGTTTATATTTAACGAAGATATTCACCAGGTAGTGTGTCGTTTACCAAACAGATGACTGGTGATAGCTGAATAAGTTATCGTAAATGACTGAGACATTACTTGGTTGAACAATTTCTACTGACTGATACAATTCGTCTTGGTCGGCATATTAGATGTTTCTTTTGAAATTTGTCCCATGTCTCAAACTAGAACTTGGCAAAGCTACTAAACAATCAACAGATACTTTTTTGAACCCCTGGCTGAACTGGGATCAATTTTAAAAACATAATTTCTGACTTGCTTAAGATCAGTTTCTAATGTTGGCAATTTAATCCCCTTTATGCGAATAAATATAGGAATTATGAAGACTGTTAAAATCTCGGTTTATAATTTCAACAGAAACAGACCTGAACATTTTATATTTGGAATTTATACATTTTTCTTAACACTTATATGTGTGTGTGTGTGTGTGTGCGCGTGGTATATAATAAAATTATAGTTTTAAAGTATTATATGTAGATGGTTAAAAGTACTCAATATCACGGATAGAGAATATGCAAATATAAAAGTGGACAATAGCTGTCGGCACTCGGTGTTGACCTGAATCTTCAGGCATGAAGTTAGCTCACATATATTGTTAATTATAATAGACAACGAATGTCTATTATGTTTGATCATGAGCCGTTCTAAGCTTCGTATAGTTACTTTAATGACAAAACTGTTCAACATATGGATATTTTTATTACGTTGTTCCTTGATCTAAGTTTTCCGTTCACATGGTCCATCATGGGAATGGTTATATGGACATTACAATAGAGATGTTCGCCGTCAAAGATGACATCCTGTTATGTTTACATAAAAGTTTACTATACGACGTTAACGGTCACGGAAGAGCAGACGCAGATCGTAGTTTCGTACATCGGTTCTATGATGTCACCCGAAACTAAAGCCACAATACGAAGCTTAGGACGGCTCATGATCAAATATAATAGACATTTTAACAATAAATATTTGAATAATGATCTGCTGCCCTAATACAATATATATATATATACATACATACATATATATATATATATATATATATATATATATATATATATATATATATATATATATATATATGCTCACCCACTACACGTGGACCAAAGAGGCCACAGCGAATGAGTTGGTTACCCCCACCCACCCTCTGAAAACCCGATAGCACCCGCGCCATTATGTATCGTATAACACTCTTGACCAAAATGCGAAGAAAGAATTGAGAGTGCCCGTGCCTATTCCATTCGTCTGATGGTAAGATACGGTGGGGTTTGGTTTGGTTTGGTTTGTTTTGTTTTACGGCATATCAACCTCAATGGGTCATTTAATCCCGACAACTTTTTTTTTCTTGGTAATATTTTTGTTTTGTCAAAAATCTATTTCTGTTAATAATTTTTCCTCAAAAATTTGTAGCTGGTAATATTATTTTTTACAAAAACATATAGCTAGTAATATTATTTTTTCAAAAACGTATTATCAGAGGCCTTGCTGTTGGACGTATTTTATCGTCTTGCCCAGGACGCAGATGTAGTTTATCGTCATACCCAGGACGAACGTTGGCGTTCGTCAATGTCCAAATAATATCTCGACGATATTAGCTATATATATATATATATATATATATATATATATATATATATATATATATATATATATATATGCTACAGTATGATGAAATTAGGTTAGGTATGAGTCTATAGTGTCTGGATTAGTCTCCCAGATAACTAATATTCACATATAAACCTTGAAGGTATTTAGGGGATTTAAGAGGTGTATTATTATATGCCATCGAATATGATAGTTTGTGATTTTTTTGTTCGATAACAACTGTTTAATAATTCTACATTTTAATAGGAATTATGCATGAGATCTGGGCCTTACCATGAAGTGGTGTTTCGCAAGGTCAGCTTCCAATCTAAAATGAGTTCCATTCTCGCAAGATGCCCTCACTTGCTGTCTTCGGCTTTGATCACCTAAATTTAATAAATACTCGTATGTACACCAGTAAGTCTGTAGCCTACCGATAAAAGGCATTTTCAATATAAACTCTATGCTAAACATTTCCTTATTGATCACTGAGATTGAACATTATACAGTGAAAATTTCAGATCTAAATTCTGTTCATAGCTGTGTCAAGTTGTGGACTTCTTGCTTCATTTTGATATTTGAGATTTGAATGCTATCTATGCCTACGATAATCTTTCAGTGTCAAAATGTGTAAACGAAACTGAAACATCTATTAAAAATAATAACATTCTAAGCATTCTGTTAACTTTTGGAGAGGAAGATGTAAAGAAGAAGGAAAGAGAATTTTAAGTGTTCAAAAATGTTGCAAAGAATGTGTTTTTTCTTTTCGAGGAAGGGAACAAACCGGCACCTTCATATCCGCAAGGATCTCTCTGAATATTTCCAGAGACTGAATGCAATTCTTTCTTGGTTTCTTTTTCCGAAGAAGATAATTTTAATGTCAATGTCCGCTTTTAACGACATTCTGTCAGGATCTTCCAACAGTGGCCTAGCTGTTTGCTTTTTTGCTTCTTTTCTCTCTCTCTCTCTCTCTCTCTCTCTCTCTCTCTCTCTCTCTCTCTCTCTCACTCACTCATGAACGGGACCATATTTAGCTATAGTGACCGCCAAGTGTTCGTATCCGGTCCAGTAGTTTATCTTTCGTCCAGAAGGGATCACGTGACACGAAAACAGAACAGGCAACACATTCATATTTCTTTCATGAGTCTCAGCCGTACAACCCCACCTCCAACCTTGTCTTTTTCTTCTTTCTTTTTTTCTTGCTCTTTGGTTTCTTATTAAGTTTCCCCTTTGTTTTAGTAATCAATATTTTCGTAACTTAACTGTGCCTCAGCACAGTAACACTCTACTCAACTAGACAAGCTTGCTAACATCTTCGCTAAGTCAAGTCTCCGTCTTGGTTATTCACATCCATTTTCGTCTTTTTAACGTCATTTCTTCGCTCTCCTTTGTCAATCTTTTGTCACGAGCAAACAAAAATTTAAATATCTGGGAAATGTTTTAACAAAGGATGGAAACTGCAATACTGAAATCCGAACGCATATTGAAATGGCGAAAGATGCTTTTCAAAAACTAAGTAAAGCATTAAGAAAGAGTAATATTTCGTTAGCAACAAGAGTAATAAACTGTTACGTAATGCCAGTCATTCTATATGGCAGTATATGCTGGGAAATCTCCTCAAAGATGAAGAGAATTTTCTCTTTCTCCTTCCTCCCACCTAGTGGACTCTCCTTACTCTCTTTCCTGCTTGTTGCACTCTCCTTCCACGCCTTCTCCTCCTCTCCTTATTGCAGACTCATTCCTCCTTTTCCTCTTCCTCTAAATGTTGCACGCTCCTCTTTCCACCTGGTGCAGCCTCATTTCTCACATTCTATTTCCTCCAATTGTTGCACCCTTATCACTCCACTTTAACTTCCTCCAACTGTTGTCCCTCTCAATTTTCGCTTTCTCATTCCTCCACGTTGTTCATTCTCTTTACTAGCTTTCTTCTTCCTCTGCTTGTTGCAACCTCATTCCTCCTCTTCTTCTCCCTCCACCTGTTGCACCCTCATTTCTCACTTTCTATTTCCTCCACCTGGTGTACCCTCATTCTTCGCATTCTCCTACCTCCAACAGTTGCACCCAGATTCCTACCTTTCCCCTTCATCCGATTGTTGCACCCTCAATTTTGCTTTACTTCTTCCTCCACCTACTGCACTCTCCTTACTCTGCTTGTTGCACTTTTCTACCACGCTATCTCATCCTCTCCTTATTACTGACTTATTCCAACGTTTCGCCTTCCTCTAACTGTTGGAACCTCATTCCTCCCTTTCTCCTTCCTCCACTTATTGAACCTTTATTTCTCTCTATTTCCTCCACCTGGTGCACCCTCATTCCTCGCTTTCTCCTTCCCCCACCTGGTGCACTTTTATTCCTCGCCATCTCCTTCCTACTCCTTCCTCACTCTACTTGTTGCACTCCCCTTTCATGCTTTCTCTTTCTCTCCTTATTAAAGACTCATTCCTCTTTTTCCTCTTCCTCCCACTTTTGTTGTCTCCTTCCTCTACCTATTGCGTCCTCATTTCCCGCTATTTCCTCTAAAGTTGCACCTTCATTCCTCCATTTCGATTTCCTCCAAGTGGTGCATTTCAATTTTATCTTTCTCTTTCCTCCACCTCGTGCAATCTGTTTACTCGAGTTCTTCTTCCTCCGCTTGTTGCATCCTCATTCCGCCCTTTCACCTTCCTCCACCTTTTGTACCATCATTCTTCGCTTCTTCCTTCCTCCACCATTTGCACCCTATTGCCTTCTCCTTACCTCCTTTGCCTCTGCTTGTTGCACTCTACTTCCACGCTTTCTCGCTCTCTCCTTATTGCGCAGCCATTCCTCACTTTCTCCTCCCCTCGTCCGTTATTCCCTCTTTCTTTCTTTGCTACCTCTGATTTCTCTTTTACTCTCTTTTATGCTGAAATGATTCTTTCTCTTTTGATTTCCTTCTCTACCACCATGATTATTATTTTTCTCTGTTTCTTTTTAGCATCGATACGATTATTCTTTCATTCATCTGCCTTCTCATTCTTTTAATCTCTCTTTCTCTTTCCACCTTTTTATTATTTCTCTTAATTTCTCACCAGTCTTCTCCACCTCTCTCTCTCTCTCGATATTATATATGTATATATATAAGTTGTAACGGCAAAAGTGTCCAATTCTTAGATTATGCTTTGAACCGATGTTTAAATGTATCTTACTGGAATTCTCCGATGATTTTATAACACTATTGACCTCTACTTTGAACAATAAGAATGTATTTAGCTCTATGTTAAAATGATGATACCTCTTCCATTTAATACCGCCTGATCCAGTTTTCCTCTCTACTGCTCTCTCTCTCTCTCTCTCTCAAACCTATTCACCATTCTCTTTATGGTTCTTGAATGGACATTGAAGATGGAAGTCAGACTATGAATGTTTGTAACATTACTGAAGACTTGAATGATCTTTTTCCTCTCACCATTACTTACTTGGGAAGACAGATTGGGGCTGATGCAAAAGATTTTAACTGTTCACATTCTAGATGAATAACTCAAAGTTCTTTTTCAGTGATTCTTACGACAAATGCTGTCAAGGTGGCTAAATGTCTTATCTGAAAAACAGAAAAAAAAACTCAATTAGTTTAATGGTTTTTTAGATATTAAACATTTGGGATGGACAACTATCCTGGACAATTTTGCTGTTACACCAAGTACACATGCATACATATATATATATATATATATATATATATTCTTCTCTTTCTCTCTCACTTTCTTTACCTTCGGCCTTCCTATTTTATTTCACTCTTTACTATCTTCCACTTCTCCTTATTTCTACTTATGTATTCTACCTCTCTATCTCTCGCTCACACACACACACACACACATATATATATATATATATCGGATAGCTTGAAGGTTGATTTCAAACATGAAACAGACTGTCGCCACTTGATGTTGACTTTTATAGATATATCCATGATACTGATCACTTTTACTTATAAATATAGTTATATTTTTATATTTTTTTACTTATAAATATAACTATATTTTTATTACATATATATATGTATATATATATATATATGTGTGTGTGTGTGTGTGTGAGAGAGAAAGAGAGAGAGAGACCTTACCATTTCTCTTTCTCTACGTCTTACCTTTTTATTCTTTCTCATTCTCTTTTTTATAATTTTAAAATATTATTAGCATAATTTTTATACTTTTTTTCTCTCTGTTCGAATTTATTGTTCTTTCTCTCTCTTTCTTTTTCTCTCTTATTAGTTCTTTCTGTCGATTTGTATCTTCGACCTTCTTATTCTTTATGTCTCTTCGGCTTTCATATACTTTGTTTTCTCTCTCTCTCCCTCTCTCTCTTTCTCTCTCTCTCTCTCTCTCTCTCTCTCTTTGACCTTTTCACTCCTTCTCTCGCTTCCTATCGTTGATCTTCTCATTCCTTCTCTCTCTTCGAATTTATTTTCTCTCTCACTCTCAACTTGCTTTTCGTTCTCCTTCCTGCTTTCTCCATATCCTTCAAGTTTATAAACAATAACCAACCATTCAAACCGTCCGTTTTACATCGACTCCGTGACTCAGCTCGAGTCAATCAGACATTTTGAGCTTATTTTCCAGTTCTCTGGCTCCAGCTTTTCCACCCGTATGTTTTTCTTCATCTTCCTTTTTTTCCTTCACTCTCTCTATCTGTCTTTCTCTGTATGTGTGGGTCTATGTCCGCCACAAAAACCGGATACTTAAGTCCACTCCTATCAAGAGCTCCACGGAGATACACGATTGAGTATCACTTCCACAGCAATTATATCGAGAGGAGGGACAAGAAGGAGCTCTAAGTGAAGCTCCAAACCCTTGTATCATTAACAACAGCAGCAGCCATTACATGTTGCTTACATATACTCTACCGAGCGTGGGAAAGCACACACAAAAAATGGCCGCCAATGTTTAGCTTAAGAGTTTTACTGAGCCACACATGCACACAGATTTACTTACTTGATTGATATGAAAAATTATGTGCATGCGTTATTTTAATTTATGTTTGATTTAAAAAAAAAAAAGAAAAAAACATAGAAAAAAATTGTTTTTTTTTTAAGGAGTGCTCATATTTTACATTTGTTTTTTTTTTATCTTAGAATTATTTAAGTTTAATATTTTTTTATTTTTAACGTGATAAAAAAGAAAATAACAGAAAAGTGTTTAATAAAAAATATTACCGAAAAACGGTAATATCAAAATACACACTGATTAACGGAAAATATATCTAAACCGGTTTATCTTCCCATCAGAGCGAAAATATGCGTAACAAGTAAAAATGAAAACCCAAGGCCAAATTTTATATGAACAGAAATTTAGCACTTACAGGCTAATTACCTTCAAGCCCACTCTTGCTTACAGAGAGATGGCTGGTAGGACTTAATGTAAACAGATTCCAACACTTTCAGATGAAAGTCGGAGAAAAAAATATATATCTTCCCTGTCAGACCGTATACTGACTTTTTAACACATGTTCAACAACTGCCGAAACTGTCGTATTCACGCATCGCTGCAAATTGTCTCCCTTGTCCTTTGCGAATATTCATTTCTTTTATTCTTTTATTTTATTTATACAGCCAAGAATTAAATAAAAAAAAACTGGAGGTTTATTTTGCAGGAAACGGTATAAATTTTTATTAAAGTTTATGTCACTAGTATAGAATATTGAACTCAATCCTTTAAAGTCGATAGATTTGATCTAACATGTTAATCAACATCATATGATATATATCGAAAGGTATTTTTAAGGCCTCTTAGGGTGGTTAATAGCAGCTATATCCATTGTCATTAATAACTGGATATAACTGACAAATGGGTGTGGCTAATTAGTTCTTAAATAGCCTGTAATTTCTGTCTACATTTCTGAGATGAGGTATTGTAATTATTTACATTATTAACATTGTTCGGACTGTTGTCTTGATCTTTGTTGCTATATTACAGACGTTTCCTTTTTTATACTCTCCGGTCTTCTTCAGGTAATTGGAACTTTGAACTGACCCCTTTATCTCGTCCAACGGGGTATGTTGTTCTAGTTCCACGTGCCATGCCTCCTCCGCCTTCTCAGTTATTGACACAGTGAGTTGTGAACTCAATACCTGGCTATTGCATCAGTGAGCAAAAAGTTGAAATAAAGGGAGAACAGTGAGACATCCGGAAGTGGCATGACTCGTGGAACTAGAACAGTCTACCCCGGTGGATGAAATAAAGGGTTCAGTTCTAAATTCCAAGCGCCTGATGAAGGCCGAAGCGTATAACGACCGAAACGTCATGAATATGGCAACGAGAATGAGGAAAACAGCCCGAACAATGTTAATAGTGTAGATAATTGCAATACCTCATCTCAGAAATATGGACAGAAATTACAGGCTATTTAAGAACTAATTAACCACACCCATCTGTCAGTTATATATAAATATTGTAAATAGCCTGTAATTTGTTTGATTCTTTGTGTGCTCCTCTATTACAACAGAGGTTCAACTTTGACTTCTCTCAGAGCTTTGTGCATACAAAGAACATCAAAAAAGGTATTAATTTATCATGATTATATCTTGGCTTGTTGTTGAGATATATCTATTTTTCATGGTTGCCTGAGTTCAATATAGTAAGCCTAAGTAAATGCCCACATTCGTATGCTTATTTTAAAATCCGGAAAGCTCTCTGTACTTTAAAGAAAGGGGCAACATAGTCTTCTTGAATCCATTTTCCCAGGGTGCCAAATTTTATACAATTATTTTTAAAGTTTGCTTTCTTTTCTAACCGTGTGTCAAATTGACTTGAAATACTTGTCAACAGCTATCTATATTAAGGCTTAGTTCTATAAATCGTTTTAAATGTTGTTCTGTTTTGTATTTTGTTTTTTGAATATTAGGTGTTTAGTGAAATAAAAAATAATCTTTAATATTTCTAACTGAACACAAACCAACATTTTCTTCGAAATCCTGGTAACCTTGATACCATTTGAGTATCACAACTTTTATTGCGAATAAAATCGTGGGCGTTGTAAAATAAAAGTCCAAATCCCGATTCTTTACAGACAATTTTAATGAGTTTTTATCGTTTAGTGATAGCTAACGGACTAATCTCGCATGCCATTGTTTATAAGCTCAACTCATATGCCTTTCATCATGATTGTAGCCATATCCTAAAGATGTTTAGGTTTTTTATATTTTCGTAATATATATTTGTTAGCAATCTTAGCAGTTTTCTTTTATTCCTCTATTTCGACGTTTCATTTGAAACAAAAGTTAAATTCGTCGACAACATAAGCATCATGCTTAACAAGGACAATAATTTACCAAGCATCATGGTTAACAAGGGCAATAATTTATTGGGAAACTAAAATCAGATTTTGAATGAAAAGAATATTGATTACGCTGAATTGAGCTCTGTCTTTGGTGTTCAATGTATCGTGTTCAATTCGATGTACAAAGGTGTGAAGCCGTTCATGTTGGACGTTCGCATTAAATTACATCAGCTTAAAGATGAGATTTTCTTCTGCATTTGTTTTAAGAAATGTGACCTTGCATTGTCATTAAGAAGAAGTGTATACTTTCTGTTGATCAAACCTGCACAGATTTTGAACATATTTCTTTGTTCATTCGTTTCGCAGTCTCTGACAGTCAACCAACACACATCCCAAGAGTTACAAAGGATCACAGAATGAGGTTGTTTTATTTATTTAAGAGCAGATGGTAAGAAGCGCAGACTATGAGGATATGTAGAATATATAACGTTTGATCTTAGAGTAAAGAGGTCAACATTATCGTTCTCGGTTGAGGGCATTCTTTCAGTAGCCTGTTCCACAAAGCAGCAGATCTCTGGAAGAAGAGTTAAACTTCCTTCTTACAAGTGGATTACAAAGAGAACCGTGTACGTGGGTCTTAAGGTGTAATGGTCTAGTACTAAGGAATGTAGTTAGTATATTTTCCATGATTTACAAGAGGCTTGCAACGTTTCGTCTGTCGGAAATTTGTTGTGATGCGTAAAATAATAAAGACAGAGAGGTTTTTGAACTTTATTAAGATTGGGAAATGGAGACAGGATAGTTCCAGTCCAGATGTGATAGCAATTCTCCATTCTTGGTTTAATCGAATTCTTATAAATATAAAGCATGCCAGGAGGAGTCTAGTAATTTCTAGAGTAGAATAATTCTGCTGGGATTCTTTTACCTTGTTTAAATGGCTTTTAATAATTTTTTCCTATCAAAGTCTACTGACAACTCACCAACAGGTTACAGGGAGGGGCATTTTATTTGAGACGTCGACATGTTTTTGGTTCAAATTCGCAGATCCATTGAAGAAAAAAGAATTATTTTTTCTTCTATTTTTTCTTTTTCATTTTTAGTCATTTACTAGAATACTTCATGCGGAGTTTTAATCTAGAACCTGCGGATGGTTAATTGGGCGTCCGATCCAAAACTAAAGGAATCTCTGGTCCAGCTTAGAAAACAGCAATCATAATTTTGAAGAAATAACTTTGAATTCCTCAATTCACTCTATGGAATTTCAAAAAAACACTCTCTGTTAGGGCTATAAGTCCAGTTCCAGCCAAAAACTGATTTGGGCCGAAACTCGGATTAAGGCCGATAATTGAGTTCTTGTAGAGTAGCTTGCACCCATTCAGCACTCTACCAAATGGCCTGGCTCATAGCCTTAAATAGTCTACGATTAAGGACTTCAGCAGTTGATTAATAAATTGATACTAAGCTGATTAATATTCGGACTGATCTTACTTCGTTTGGCTATAAAGCTTTTTACCCTTCTCTATTCCTTGTAAGTTGTTTTATTGTTTTGTAACTTATTGTTCTGAGTTTTTTTGTATCTATACGTTAGCACCGAATACTGGTGTTGAATAAATATATCAAGCACTCATTCTTGTCTGTGTCATTCACCTCGACGATACAACAGTTCTTCAAATCTCCGTGGAACTTCAATTGAGTTGAGTTCTTTAAGTCATAAACTCTGCGGAACTTCAAAACCTCACGATGCCTCTCAATTTTATTGTGAATCTTTGAAAAAATTAAATTGATTTCCTCAATTCACAAAGTTTTGAAACCGAGTTTAAAGCAAAAAAGTTAACTTACAGTGTTTTTATGTTACTTTAAACTCAATATAAATTAAAAACTTTTAAAATCCTTGTTTTCAGTTATTTTAAAATTTGAATTTTTAGCTGTTCCCTTCTCATCCGGACATAAATCCCAATTCTAGGTGTTCAAGCACCAGATGAAGGGCAGATTTTCAATCCCGGGATCATTCTGATTTTAAAAAGGTATGATATGTTTATGTAAAGCAAGTGTGGGTTTTAGACAGACATACGGACGAACAAATAGAATTTGCCATTTATTTATATTTTTGCTTGGTTTGTTGATTCCGTTCTTGAGAAAACAAATTTAACTTTTTATTTTTATTTATTCTCTAAGCACTTTGCGAACTTGCTACTAACATGACCCAACTTCTGGCCTCTTAAAGAAAACGAAGCCGGAACTATTGGCAACAGAAAAT